TAAAGGAAAAAATACATTTGGTTAATAAAAATAAAACATGTAAGATAATTGATTTATTAGAAAATGTATAAGTATATTTATTAATGAATTTATCATATTTTTTTCTATACCAAAATAACTATTATTTTTTACTTTTTTTTTAAATTAAGTGTTTAAGGACAATTTCTATATTTATCTACAATACCCTTAAAAAGGAGATAAAATATAAGAAAAGAGTTTATCATTAGATAATTAATTAAAATAAATAGATAATGATAATGATATACACTATTAAAATTTTCACTTTTAGCAACAACTTATCAACAACATAGATGTCGTTGTCGGTGAAAATCTATATCACTAACAAGGACTATGTTGCTGAAAGTCATACAGTACATTTTTCTACTTAAAAGGTTGCATCACTTTCAGCAACAAAGCTGAAATTGCTAAAAGTGAATTTCAACAACATACCCCATGTTACTAAAATTTTCTGATCATTACATAGTGCATGTTACCACCTAGAAGTGAGTCCCACTTTCAGCAACATGGGGTATATTACTGAAAGTGAATTTCAGTAACATACCTCTTGTTGTTGGAACTTTTCAAGCACCTAGAGCATTAGCAACATACCCCTTGTTGATGTTATTCTTATACTTTTTTCAACCAAATATTAGCAACAAGGACATGCTTTGACAAACAGTTGGCCAAAACCATTATATATACACATTTCTCCGGTCATTATATATACACCTTTACCATTATATATGCACTAGAGTCAACTCTCCATGTGAAAAGTTGATTCTTAATGGGAAAAATTTCACTCTCATTTTTAATAGTCGACTCTTAAGCAAAAATATTTTATATTTATATGTAAAATACTTCTATAAACTCAAAAGGATGTCTACATTATTTTTTTAGTTAAATTAGATATTTAAATCATTTAAATAAAGAGTAAATAATGTAATTATATTAATTAATGTATTAAATGTTAAGTACTTTTTAATAAAGTTAAAAAATCAACTAAAAAATTAAATTTTAGAGATAAAAGCTACTTTAACTCTAAATTTTATTTTGTCTATATTTATAAATTAAAACAATTAATATATGTCACCTATTTAATTAGTCCCACATATAGGTAATTCTTAATTTATGAATGAATAAATTAACCCTCATTTAATTTTATTAAATCAAATCTCACATATTATAACTATTTCACTCTTTTTTAATTTACCAAAGACTCAGTTAAATTTTATTTAATTTTATTACATCAAATTTAATCATAATAAACTAAATTTAAACAAAATTAGACAAAATTAAAATGCTTTTGTGGTTTCATCTTCCTCGACCTTCCACCCTTTCGCTAGCTCTATCCTTCTCTATCCTCCTCTCCTTCACCTACATCCTTCTCTATTTTCTTCTTTCTTTTTGGTTGGATGGTGAGAACCCGATTTGGGTTCTCATTCTCCCAAATCCGATACAATAGAATAAGGAGTATTGCGGCCTAATTTTTTAAATACATTCTCCCAGATCTCCAACCAATAATCTAACGAACTCCCTTCTTCCTTTTTTTTTTTTTTTTTGGTTCATTCCTTAAAGAAACTCCAGCAAAACCCCAAAATTTTTCACTCAAAAATCCAATGAAAATCCAACAGTAATACTGAGGGATGAGAGAAGTGATGGATTTGGGAAAGAAGGGGGAGGAATCCACCAAACCTTAAACCCATTGATCAATCTCAAATATGGTCCCTTTGAACCCTAAACCTAGGTGCATCCATGGAATCTTGCGAGCTCAGGGATTTAGGTTCCCATTTTCCTTCTTTCTACAAGATTTGAGCTCATGGAGAACCCAAACCTGGTTCTCCTTATGAGAACCCATCTGAGTTTTGAAGGATTTAGGTGAATTAGGGATGAGGTGAGTGTTTGGCTGAGATTAGAATCATAAGAGGAAAGAAAAAGTGAGACGGTGATGATGAACAATGAAAGAGAGGAAGCAATGGATGAAGAGGTCACTGGAGGAAAAGTAGGGTAGGATGACGATGATCGAAGAAGATACAAAACCAACGGAGGTTTTCAGGAAGGGGAGAGAAAAAAGTTGGAAATGGCTAGGAGTGGTGAGGGGATGATCAGAGTTGAGACAAAGGAGTTAGAGTGTAAAGATGGGGTATTTAGGTAATTTTGTATTTTTAATGTATTAATTAATTAAAATAATTTAAGTGTGGAGCAGTTATGGACTCAATGAAGAGTTAACTCTCCATGTTGAGAGTAGACCCTTCATTGCACACAGAGTCCACTCTCCATGTGGAGAGTAGACTCTACAAGGTTAAGAATGGACTCCCAAATTCTAGAGAGTAGAGTTGTTTTGGACACTAAGTAGAGTCGACTCTTAAAAGAAAGAGTTGATTCCCGTTTTTAATAATTGACTCTAAGAATGTAAATTCGACTCTCTAGCCTTCAAGAGTTGACCATAGATGATCAATATTTGACTCCCAAATTCCAGAGAGTTGAGAAAGTTCTGGGTGCTGGGTATAGTTGATTCTTTTAGGGGAAAAGAGTCAATTCTTAATTTAAAAGGTCGACTATTAACCAAAAATTGTGATAGCTTTATGTGAAATGTCTATGTAGCCTCATATACATGTCCACATATTTCCTTTTAGATAAATAGAGTTTTAAATTATTTAAATATGTTAACAAATAATGTAATTATATTAATTAATTTGTCAAGCGTTAAATAAAATATAATAGATTAAACAAAACCAACTAAAAAAATTAAATTTTAGATATAAAAATGAATTTTTTTAAAATTAAGAATTAATTAAAATATAATAATTTTAACATTCAATAGTCTGGCACGAGAAATTGTGATTTTAAGTTTTAGCAACATGATACGCATTGGTGATGAGTAGTGGATTTAAAATTCAAATTTGTTTTAGCAACATAGAACATAATAGTGATAGGGGGTAAACTTTTAGCGACATAACTTGTGTTATTGAAAGTTCTATATATACCCCAAACCTCAGCCATCTCCATGCATTCTACAATTCTCTCCACCTCTTTCTCCTGTGTGCTGCACCATCCTGTGATGATCCGCGTGCCTTTCCCCCAAACATCCAGACCTCTCAACCTCTCTTTTTTTTTT